ACATGGAAGGAGATGTTTTGTCTTGTCTCGCAGGAGTTTTTTATTTGCCATAGTTATTATGTTATAATTCCTTTTTTTACAATCAAATAATTTTAATTCAGTCACACAGTGTGTTGTGACCTGTATGTGAACATTTAACCTCTTGGTTTTATATCAATATTTTACTCTTCCATGTTGGAAAATAACACCAGCAGTCTTGGGCCTTTTTTAAATGATTGTGTTACTATAATTATTTTGTATTTCTATATTCAATCACAAAGCACTCTTGATTTGTATTTGCCTTATATTATCTTTATAACTCTGGTATTGTACTTGCAACCATTGCCACTGTGTTGAGAGGGTTACTGTACTGCTGCTATTCTTTCTTCCTTTCTTTCTATCTTTCTTTCTTCTTTTTCTTTGCAAAGGCTCTTGTAATCACTTTTGACAAGTCTGCATCATTGCACAGCGCTATCGTTTCTCTTATACACTTGACTTGTATAGAAATGACAATGTGGGGAGTAGTGGTAAAGTGTGGAGGTTTTTTACAGCAACATCAAAGTGGTATGCTCTTGAGATGATTTCAACAAAAATATACTTGTGCCAATTTGATGAACTCCAGAAGAGCGCTACTGTAATTATAGATGACAAAAGTCTTTTTTTTAATAATAACAATATGTAAAGAAATGTGTCAAAGTGTCAAACGAACCATATCATTATTTTTTTTCTCCAAAAGTGCCAACAGAGAAATGCAATCTAAATTCACATTATTAAAATGGTCAAGGCTCTCTTTCTCTATTGAATTCCACAATCGTAGTCAAGTATTTAATGTTATAGTTCACAACATGAGTATTATTTGAAATAACCAATAATATTGTGGATTTGACACATTTTTCTGATATGGTACCATGAAAAGAGGTTTGTTTATAAAGAATTGAATGTAAACTCTTAAATAAACAGTGTTAATATGTTATGATGTGAACAGTTGCGTGTCATTACGATATCTGACTACTTAAGTTTAGTTTCTTCAATATATATATATTTTTAATTAGTATGGCTGGTTTAGACATTCGATGTTTTTTTCTGCCATATTTGTTAGTTTTTCAGAACAGTATGATGGGCAGTGGCGGAATAAGAACTTAAATGTTTTAATAAAGTAAAAGTATAAATACTACAGTGCAGATGTTAATTATATTCTTCATTGATAAAACATAACCTATGATAAAAGCCCATTACATTTGCATGAATAAGAACTACAAGTGGGGGAAAAAAGTGTATTTAGTCAGCCACCAATTGTGCAAGTTCTCCCACTTAAAAATATGAGCGATGCCTGTAATTTTCATCCTAGGTATACCTCAACTATGAGAGACAAAAATGAGAAAAAAATCACATTGTCTGATTTTTAAAGAATTTATTTTCAAATTATGGTGGAAAATAAGTATTTGGTCAATAACAAAAGTTCATCTCAATACTTTGTTATATACCCTTTGTTGGCAATGAGAGAGGTCAAACGTTTTCTTTAAGTCTTCACAATTTTTTCACACACTGTTGCTGGTATTTTGGCCCATTCCTCTATGCAGATCTCCTCTAGAGCACTGATGTTTTGGGGCTGTCGCTGGGCAACACAGACTTTCAACTCCCTCCAAAGATTTTCTATGGGGTTGAGATCTGGAGACTGGCTAGGCCACTCCAGGACCTTGAAATGCTTCTTACGAAGCCACTCCTTCTTTGCCCGGGCGGTGTGTTTGGGATCATTGTCATGCTGAAAGACCCAGCCACGTTTCATCTTCAATGCCCTTGCTGATGGAAGGAGGTTTTCACTCAATATCTCACGATACATGGCCCCATTCATTCTTTCCTTTACACGGATCAGTCGTCCTGGTCCCTTTGCAGAAAAACAGCCCCAAAGCATGATGTTTCCACCCCCATGTTTCACAGTAGGTATGGTGTTCTGTGGATGCAACTCAGCATTCTTTCTCCTCCAAACACGTCTAGTTGAGTTTTTACCAAAAATTTATATTTTGGTTTCATCTGACCATATGACATTCTCCCAATCCTCTTCTGGATCATCTAAATGCTCTCTAGCAAACTTCAGACGGGCCTGGACATGTACTGGCTTAAGCAGGGGGACACGTCTGGCACTGCAGGATTTGAGTCCCTGGCGGCGTAGTGTGTTACTGATGGTAGCCTTTGTTACTTTGGTCCCAGCTCTCTGCAGGTCATTGACTAGGTCCCCCCGTGTGGTTCTGGGATTTTTGCTCACCGTTCTTGTGATCATTTTGGCCCACAGGGTGAGATCTTGCGTGGAGCCCCAGATCGAGGGAGATTATCAGTGGTCTTGTATGTCTTCCATTTTCTAATAATTGCTCCCACAGTTGATTTCTTCACACCAAGCTGCTTACCTATTGCAGATTCAGTCTTCCCAGCCTGGTGCAGGTCTACAATTTTGTTTCTGGTGTCCTTTGACAGCTCTTTGGTCTTGGCCATAGTGGAGTTTGGAGTGTGACTGTTTGAGGTTGTGGACAGGTGTCTTTTATACTGATAACGAGTTCAAACAGATGCCATCAATACAGTTAACAAGTGGAGGACAGAGGAGGCTCTTAAAGAAGAAGCTACAGGTCTGTGAGAGCCAGAAATCTTGTTTGTTTGTAGGTGACCAAATACTTATTTTACCGAGGAATTTACCAATTAATTCATTAAAAATCCTACAATGTGATTTCCTGGATTCTTTCCCCCCATTCTGTCTCTCATAGTTGAAGTCTACCTAGGATGAAAATTACAGGCCTCTCATCTTTTTAAGTGGGAGAACTTGCACAATTGGTGGCTGACTAAATAATTTTTTCCCCCACTATATGTCTGGCGACATTCCCGATGTACAAAGCACATGCTAAAACACTGTGTATATCCCTGAAAAATGATAAACACATGTAATTACTGCTTGTTGCCATAGATACAAATGCCATAACAATGATCTCTCGAGATTACTACTTTAAAGTACCAAAAGTGAAATCACTCATAATGCAGAATGTCCCATTTCAGAAGGATATGCTGTATGTTAAATCACTGTATTATAATTATTTATGCATTAATGTCTAATTCACTAATGTTTCGGCTAGTAAAGGTAGGGTTCATTTTCTTTATACACAGCTGGGTAACATCTTCTTTGCATACATGATAATGTAGGATTGTTTTGAAATACATATATGAAAAGTAAATTAGAATGTAATGCGAAATCCTCAAGTAAAGTACCATTTTTTTATTATGTACATTCCTGAGTAAACATACCAACATCGCACATCCCCCTGAATTCATGTAAAGCCTGGGCATGCCTCATGAAACCACACATTCTGGTGCTGTTCAGCCTGACCCTCACCAGGTGGCGCTGTGCCACAGTTTGTAGTCTGTTGTTAGAGTATTCTCAAACCTTTCAAGGAATACAAAGAGGCTTTCCTTTTTGCTGGAGATTCGAATGTAAAGTACTACTGACAGAACCCAGCACGTCTCTAGAGTAGAAAAAACATACATTTCCTAATAGATAACCCTTTTGTTTTTACGTTCTCTTCTCTTTTTGTGCAGTTTTTAAAACCATAAATACGAAAGACAAATGTGACGCTTTAGGTCCTCTGGTTGCACTATTATCTCCTGTGCTGTATTTAGATTGACTCTCAGCAAATATCGCACCCATGGGTCGCACCACCTGAGTTTGAGTCAACAAATGCTCTTTTTAATCCGCCCTTGTTATTATCCAGTTTAGGCTCCATCATACAAACAGTGTAGGATACTTAACAGTGTATAATTTACTGTTAAAGCAGTGACAAATATTGACATATTAAAGCTAACAAAGTTAACGTAAGTATCTGAATTCTTGATAGAGTCTGGATCCTTTATGTACTTTACATCTTGTACTGTATTTAACTCCAGTACTTCACTTCCGGTCTGGTTATTTCAACATAAAAGTACATCTTGAATGCATTCCAGAGGTGTTTGTTTTTCGAAATATTCAAATATTCAAAATACAAGCAAATAATGTGCAGTTTCTAAGAAAGTAACCTTTTAGGGTTCAACTATTGAGCTTAGTAAATTAACTCATTAAGTTGTTTGCATCGTTAATCTCTTTGGCAGCTGAAGTTATGTGGCAGATGGGTTTTTTTAAAATGCAATAATGAACACATTATATACAATACATTGTTATACAATGCTGTTTTAATGTTAATGCATTCAAAACAATACAATGTGTGATATAAAATCATTCAACTGTCCGTGCTCATTTTGCACGCCGATCAAGTACTTGAACGTCTATGCTTTTATGCTTCTTTTAAGTAGCCTACATTTTGCATTAGTAGCTTCAAGTATAATTTTAAATGAAGGACTTTACCTTCAACACACAAATATATAATGGTATTTACTTTGTGGTGAAATGTAACTAAGAATGAACTAATATTAACTATTACTTGAATACTATATGTTTTGAGATATTTGTGCTTTTTGTATTTTCTATGTTATGCTAGTTTATCTACTCTTGAAGCCAATATTTTACTTTAACTGCAAGTAAATACCAGGCCTCTTATTTTGAAAAGATAGCAGCCGGAAGTGGGATTGTGAATTCCATCTTGACAGATGGTACGCGGCATATTTTCTTGACAGCGGAAATGAGGAGTCGCCACTTTTTTTCCGCGTCAAGTTCGTTGCTGAAAGTTTTCTTTCCTCTTTTTGTTTGTAGCGGAGGAACTGTGGCGTGCACTCATAATGAGAGAGAAAGCGACGGACTTTTTAACATGCAGCTTTTCCAATGATGTCCAGTTTCCCGTTGCTCACCAAGGACACCGTTTTGAGTTACTTTAGATTCTTCTCAAAACATTTCCGTTATGCGAAGTCCAACTTGTTGGTTAGTCGTCGTACTGCGGTGGGTGCCCATCCGAGATAACGGAGAACGTGAGTATGTTTTGAAGACTGTATAATCGTTTCTTGTCTGGGCTGTAACCATCACTAAACTCTTAACCACATGGGGGATAATCCCAAAAATGACGAACTTCCCCAGAAATGTGGACACATGTACTGCTCCCGTCCAAAATGACCTTTTTTTCTTCACAATACATCATCGAGAAAATGATTAGTGAGAGATTTAAAGGGCTCTGCCTCCCCTCAGTGGGGCCGGGGGTGATGGCGCAGACCTTTTTAGCCCCAAAAGTGAACTTTTCTTTTGAAGTCCCGTCATACCGCCGAGCAGGATTTTCTATCTTTGAGCTGCCGGACGTCACATCTACAGGGATAGTTGGCACAAAAGATGTACACAGCATGTGGCTTTTGGTGACCTTATAGTAGTTTTAATAGTGCGTGTTTGCGTGGGTGCATGCGTGCGTATGTGTGTGTGTTCTCACAACTATTTGGCGCAAATCTATCAGTGGTTGTTTCCATGGGGATGTCACAATATACAACCTATTGTCACTTATGTGTGATACATGTTAACAGGCCGTACATGGATTTTAAAAGTGTCTTAACTGACTAAATAAGATTTTTATCCATACGAAAAACTAACGCATCATTAGTGTGTACTGGAAATGTGAACGTTATGGTTGAATGTGGCAGACGTTGATGTGTGTTTTGGTTAAGCGCCAGAGAACCCCCCCATGACTGCAGGATGGAGGAACAGGAACAAGTGGGGAGCAGTCACTGGCTTTCACAATCTTCTGTTGTGTAGCAGTAAATCAAAACACTACTGTGTGTGTGCCTGTGTGTGTGCCTCTGTGTGTGTGCCTACATTTGTGTAAAGGAGGATATTCCTTCAAAGTAAAGCCCCCTCTATCTCACATTCTGAGGCAACAGGTGTGGAGTTGTGGTGTTTCCCTAAACAGTCTTGACCAAAACAGTAGTTTGTAGGGAGTGGCTTGTATGGATAAAATCCTTTTGAAATGTTGTATTTAAGTTGAAGCCATTTCATATTTTCACTCCACAACTTTTCTAATGAAAATATTGTAACATTTGTACTTCACTCCATTGATTTGCCAGCAGCTTTGGTGGTAGTGACTTTCGGATTAAGATTGTGAAAACAAAAACCTATGATTAACAATGAAAATATGCTTCATTTTCAAAGATTAAACCGTCCAACATTATATAACATAAACAAAATACTTGAATCAGCCATACCTACCACAACATCATTACAATGCTATGTTTATGCATCAGTATAATATAATTGAGGTGACAAAAGTCATACCCTTTTTTAAGTTCACATTGCTGATAATACTTCTGCACTTTATACACTTACTTTATAACCCAAGTGAAAAATATACTTGGGATGGCTTACTCCATGATCTTTTTCAATCACAATTATAGAACAGGCCTAAGATGAAGATTGTCAAATATAATAAGTTCAATGTTAGCTGAATGACTAACATGGATTTTCATTGGATGAACTCTAGTTTTTTAACACTGGCGATTGGCAACAAAGCCACAACTATTCCTTGTTCAAACAATGTTGTACTTTTTATTATTATGAAAAAAACAACAGTGTATAATGTTAATGTAAATGGTCGGTGTACATGTGCTGCTCCTTGGGACATATTTTGGCTATTTGGAACAAACTGGATGAGGGAATACTCAATAAGTAATCCACTACTTTTAATACAATATTGAGTTAATATATATATTTTAGAAGAAGTTGGCTATTTATTGATATTTATTTATCCAACTCCAATATGACCATCAAGCAGCTTTTCTAGCTGGTTTGCAACATCACCAACATTGACCTAAATACATAAATTAATAGATTTTTAAAGGGATTCCCACCACATTAAAACTGATGCAATATTCCCAGCAGCCTGCTGAGGTCTGCATTCTTGTTGTTTTAGTCATTAAGATGTAACTGTTATCCCACCTTGACTCATTGATTTAGAAAAAACATGCCCCTGGGGTGGGGAAGTAATGCTAGGAAGTTTGCTAGACTGCACATTATATTTTCCGTGGCAGGCAGCTTTAACTCAGTAAACCTCCAACAAAAGGTTCACTATATTTCAAGGTTTCAGTGGAGTCCCAGATCTCTGATTAGCGTTTTCACTCGCAGAGTTTTCCGATGAATTTCATAAGAGAGTTTACTTCCTCACAGATTTCCTAGGTTTCTGAAAGTTGGATATTTTGATGTTGTCTTCACTTCTCTTTTGCTCAGTGTGGTATGGACACGAGGAGATCAGTTCTGGCCACCAACGCAGACCATCATAAAAACATTTAAAACTGAAAAAGTAATACGACTACAAACCACAATCAGAACATCATTTTTTAATGATCTTTAGGTCTGATGACCATGTGAGAAAAATTCCCTTTTTACATTTTCAGCAATGAAAAAATCTTGGACTCTCTCTAGAGAGGGGATGTCGCTTGTTTAGGAAATAATGATATTACTTGGTTGGGGATTTTCTTCTTGGTTAGTGTCTGAGACATCTTTCCTAGAAAGAAAGGACTGTAACTCCTTGGACTTAAGATTTGTAAGCCTTGTGCACATTTGATGTCCACGTTTTGCATATGTGTTGTTGCAGATGTACAAGTGTAAGAAAGAAGTGGGCTCTGCAGTTGGCCCTCAGCCGTGGACCAGACAATGTCATGGTTCAATGTCTTTAACTGAGATTATATCGGATGCCAGCGCTCCTGCTTCCCTCAGGGGTTCCAAGAAATCCAGTGATGAGACCACGAGAGAGGGCTGACCCACAGCCGCCCTGTGGGGAGGTGGGGGGGCAGAGAAGGAGAATGAGAGGGAAACCGTTGGAGATAGATTGGCTGATTGTAGACAGGAGTAGGATTCCAACAAAGACAGACGGAAGACACTTATTAGAGCAGAAAATGGCAGAACAAGAAAGCAGTTTTCTTGTGTCAACAGGGGCCTTTTGCAACGCAACACACATGAGATTTTAGTCACATAGCACTTGGCCACCCAAACAGCTTAGCTTGAAAATCTTAACTAAGGGACACGAACAGATGATGCATAAAATAGTGTGGAGTTATTGAGTGTGCACGGATTTCTGCAAGCGATGGACACATGCGCGCCTTTGTGTCTTTTCCAAAGCAACAATAATTACAGCCAGTGTGTTTCTGCGTGTGTTTACCCCAATGCGCTCCTGTTCTTGTTGTTGGAAGAATGTTGATTATAGGCCTGATAAATGGCAACAGAATGAAAATGCTGTTTAAAACATGTGCTTTAAGGCTCTGCGTTTGCAATACCTTCATAGGTGTGTGTTTGTGTTTATGTGTACACAGTGAGGAAGCAAAATGGGGTCAAGAGTTCTGCTTTTGTCGTCTTTAGAAAAGAAACACTCCCTGAATGTTTGCTTTTTAGTCCTGAGAAGTTTTCCCAGTTCTCAGATTAATGGACTGTTTCAAGCAATATGCCAAATCCTATGTGGTTTCAGCTTCGCAGAGATGTAAGGATTTATTGCTTTTCTTTGTCAAAAAAACCTTTTGCCTATTGACAAAACAAGTTCAATGAAGACAGCAATATGGCCTCTGAGAAACATTTAAAAACTATTATTCAAATCAAATGATAACAATCAGCAGATTGATCAATGGCGACTTTAAGTTGCAGCCGTACATAAGATTCAAGATTCAAAGGTTTATTGTCCTAACATATACACAACTATGCAGTAATTATGTAATGTATGAAAAACTTAGATCGCTAAACAATTTAGAAGACATATAAAAAAAACACCCGGCACACACACAATACTTCTTTGTGTTGGTTCCTCCGTTTGTGTGTTTAGCAGAGTCATGTCTAAGTTGAAGTGAAAGAAGGAACACATTGTCACGCAATGTGTTAAATTTGCATCATGTCTAATTAGTTTATTCCCAACATTAGCACAGAGAATAAATCCCTAAACAAGACTCCCGTGAGGTTTTTCTATGAAACTGGAACTCAACGGTCTCCTGATGAGTCTCAATGGGGAACAGTTTATAACTCTTGAATTAGCCTTCCAGGAAGTCAGATGTTTGCACAGCCGATCAAATTGACAACACACACACACACACACACACACACACACACAC